CAGCCTTCTGGTGAGCATTCAAATGCCTTAGGCACTATGCTACCAGAGCTCCTGTGGGGAGGTTCTACTCTGTCCTGTAGGGGTGCTGTGAGTCAGAGTTGACTCAATGGTGGTGGGTTTGGGTCTTATAAAGTGCATAATATTAACTCGTGAATTATTTCTAAATCTCGATTTTGATGTACCTGTTTTCACGGTTAAATATTTACTGTGAGTGCTGTGGCCTACAGACAGGTAGCACTCCTCTGTCCTTGCACCTTCTCTCACCTTTTTTCATTGATGACTTTCTTTAGGGCATTCTCCAGATCATCAGAAGTCATTTCAAGGACATTCAGGGTGATTCCTGCTCCCCGGGACTCCATGCGCTTCGCGTTGTCCATCTGATCACCAAACAAGGGCATCATCACCATTGGCACTCCATTACATATTCCTTCATAAATACCGTGTGAGCCAGCGTGTGTGATAAAGGCACGCGTGTTCGGATGACCTGAGACACAAATCAGAGAGGGAGGCTGCAGTCAAGTTGCTGAGTCTCAGTCTCCCATCAGCCAGGCTTGGATGGTGCATTCTCAGTGTTATCTACATGCAGCCCTTCCATAAGAAAATGTGGCCTGAGATGCCCCACCACATAAAAAGCAATGTAGGTTAGGCCTAGATGGTGTTCTGCTACCAGTACAGAATGTAATGATGGGGACCATACTAGACGAACCTTACAGAATGGGAGGAAGATGTGGAACAGGACCTCAAATTCCTAAAAACAAACAGACAGACTTACTGGACCCATTGAAACTGGAGGACTCCCCAAGACCATTGCCCTGAGATTCTCTTTAAACTCTGAACCAAAACTAGCCCTTGAGGTCATCTTTTGGCTAAATCACAGATTGATTCATAAAATAAAGAACATCACTCAAGAGTACTGTGGTCTGAAAAAAAATCTATATGAGACCAAATGGTCAACAATGACTTTAAAACAAAGATGAGAATTTAAGGGGGCAGAGAGACCAGATGAATGGAAATGCAACAACCAGCAGAAATACTGAGAATGTTTGCACATTAGGAAGAATGTGACCAATGTCACTGAACAATTTATACAGGGATAGTTGAATGGTAACCTAAGCTGCTGTGTAAACTTTCCCTGTAAATGCAATAAAATATTATTTAAAAACAAAAACAAAAGCAATGTGAGCTATGCCAGCTATAATATTTTCAACTAAAAAAAAAAAAACCTTCTAGAATAGCTAGATCTAAGCCATTTTCTTCCTTTAACCTTGGTTTGCCCTATACTCAGTGCCTCTGGGTGGTACAAATGGTTAATAGGCTTGGCTGATGGCAGAAAGCAGTCCAAACCCAGCCAAGGGTGCCTTGGCCGAAAGGCTTAGTAATGTCCCTCTGAAATTCAGTCATTGAGAACTGGGGAGCACAGCTCTGCTCTGATACACGTGGGGTGGCCATGGGTCAGAGGTGATGACACAGCAAGTGGCCGTGGGTTGGCCGACAGAGCAGTGCTCCTGACATACCGAGCAGATCATTCTGAGGCAGCCACTTGACAAGCACTGTGTTCTTCGCGAGATTAGATGGCCGGTTCCCAGTATACCGCCACAGCACCTTGCAGACAGGAGAAAAGGAGAGACAGCGAGAGATTTTAAAGACAGAACACGACATAACTTTCAAAAATCTGCTGTAACAGCTAGCAAGTGGGGCTCTCTGAACAGACTCAGCCTTGCCACGACAGGAGGCATCGTGAAGGAGAAGGCTTTTGCGGCTGGTGACACTGTGCTTCTTGTTATATGGCTTGGGTACATGAGTGTTTTTGCTTTGTGCAAACTCATCAGGCCATGCTTTTATGATTTTTGAGCTTTCTACTCTTTGAGGAAAAGCTGATGTAGTAAAATGAGTGAGTGTAGAACTATAAATGCAGAAATATAGGAAATAAGTCCAATCTCCTAACCAAAACTTTTTGGAGAAATACAATTTAACATGAAGAAACAATATTCTTTATCATTTTGTCTTTTAAATAAATTCTCCTCGATACGTTTTTTTTAATCTTTTAGAGGAGATCAGACTTCCGAGTGAAGTGGACCATTGTGTAAGAGAGTAGTTGAGAGTTAAGTTACAAAAGTCACCTTTGGATTAATAGTTGGAAGGTGGTGTGGAAACCCAAATCACATGTTCCACCTAATAGAATTCATTTAGATCCTGGAAGTCTGGGGTTACACTAGAAATATAAAAGATTGTGAAGATAAATGTAATGGTCTTCCTACCGTCTGAGGAATTTTTCCCAAAGCATCCGCGATTTCCATTGCCTTCTTCTCTGGAATCTCCGACACCATTGATCCCAAGGAGAAAATCACAATCCCATGCTCCCCGGAAGCATTCACATAGGCCTCAAATTCCTAGAGCCAGAGAGAAATGTCCATTGAACTTTGTCTCAGATTCTTTGGTGACAGCATACATTAAGCTATGAATCCAATGTCTTCCTCTTAAAAATGTCTTTAAAGGTATGTTGCTGCTGTTAGCTGCCATCCCTGGCAACCCTACCCATGATGGAATGAAAGGCTACCTGGTCCATAGGGTGTTCACTGGCTTATTTTCAGATGTAGGTTGTCGGGCTTTTCTTGGTTAAGGAGAAAGAGAGGCAGAGACAGAGGCAGAGAGAGACTGAGCCTGGGTGGCACAGTAAGTTTGCAAGACAGCACTGACAGAAAATGCGGGAGCAGGCAGACAGCAGTCTTGATTCAGTCTTTCCTACATTCTATTGCCAGGAAGTCATCTTTTTTCATCAAGGAGTTAAAAAAAGAAGAGAAAAAAACATCAGTGATTATGAGTATATTTGAATGCTAAACTCTGAGTGATTTTCTAGCTGATAAAAATTGTTGTTAACCTGTCAGTTTACCATGACTTGCCATTACTGCGTCATACTGTAGTGGCTTACATGTTAGTTACTACAATGCTGGCAGCTATGCCACCAGGATTTCAAATACCAGCAGGGTCACCCATGTAGAATAGTTTCAGTGGAGCTTCAAGACTAAGGCACACCAGGAAGAAAGGCCTAGTGGTCTGCATCCAAAAATAAGACAACGAAGACCCCATGGATCACAACAGAACACTATGTGGTCTAGTGCAGGAGGATGAGTCCCAGGTCGGAAAGTGCTGAAAATGCACAGCAGCCACAATGGCGGATTCGAGCATATCAATGACCATGAAGGTGGCCCAGGACCCAGCCATGTTTTGTTCTGTTGTCCACGGGGGTCGCTGTGAGTCAGAGCTGACTCAACAACACCTGACGACAATGTGGTAGCATTTGTGAAGCAGGAGGATGGGCTTTGAGACAGTGTCTGTGTGCCAGGGGTGAGAAGCCATGATCGCAGCATTCCCAGTGATCAAGTACAGATTACAGATTACCACCTATCAGAGGCCTCTCCCCAAAGCAACAAGGAATGGGCATTAGAGATGGAAGTCAGGCCAACAAAAGAGGTGCAGTGAAAGGATCATTTCAATCAGAAGAGTCCCTGGCTGTTGCCAATTGTTAATGAGTTTGGCTGCTAACGGAAGGTTGATGGTTTGAGTCTACCCAGAGGCATCTTGGGAGAAAGGCCTGGCAGTCTACTTCCAAAAATCAGGGATTGAAAATGCTGTGGAGTACAGTTCTACTCTGATGCACATGGGGCACCACGAGTCAGAACCAACTCCATGGCAACTGCTTTTGTTCCGAATCAGAAGAAGAGCAGTGAGCCACAGTGTTGAAGGAAGTGATTCAGCAGAAGAGAGTGGTTGGTGTGTTGCAAGGAAAAGGGTAAGGAAACACCTGGATTCAGTAACAATCTTAGCTCAGCCTGACCCTTCGTCAGTCTTCAGAGCCAACTCCAAAGCACCTCTGTCTCAAGGAAACTGTGCTGAAGTGAATTGCTTGGTATGGCCCTTCTGGCCATGGTCTTTATAACTCCCACCAAAGACTGGGTGGGACTATGCAAATGCAAAGTGTTTGTGGGCGCCCCCAGGGGGTTTGGATAGCTTGTTAACAATGTAAATAAAGTGCACAGCACACTTGTGAGAGTGGGACAATGCAAGTAACGTGTTTGGAACTCTAACGTGAGGATGGATCAGTATTGCCATTCTGCTAGGCTTAAAGTGAGCCATTCCAGAGGCGGAAAGTGGGGATCTCACTATCATCAAGAAAGAAGAGCCAGGAGTGGAGCATGTCCTTTGGATCCAAGATCCCTGTGATGAACTTCCTCAATCTAGGAGACATAGAGCTATGACACGAGACATGGTGAGAAGCAGCTGCAGAGAAATGGTGGCAGCAGAGGCCGCAGAACTAAGAGACTGGCAGGAGGCAGAGTGGTCTTCCCAGCCCACAGAGTGAGAGAGCTGAGTGCCTTCAGGCTGAGGCTTACTGGCAGAGGTAAAAGAGCTTTACAACACTTGCCAGAGCAGGGCAGAGGCCAAGCTGAGGGGCTGAGGGCCAGAGAGAGACCTGCCTTCAGGTATGGGTGAGGGGAGGCTATCCTGATCGAAGAACTATATCTTGAATGTTCCTGATCCTGAACTGTAACCTATTACTTCCTTAATAAACCTCATATTGTGAATATTGTCTGTGAGGTCTGTGTGGCCATTGCAATGAACTGTCAAAACCAGAAGAGAGAAACAGTTGGTATCAGAATTGGTAAAAAAAAAAAAAAAAAAAGGTTGGAGGATGGCAGCATGTCTGACTTCCATCTCATAGGAATCAGCCTTGGTCTGTTGATCTTGATCCTCCTCCCCACCCTTGTGAAGTTAGAGGAGATCAGATGCTCCCACCATCATGCCATTTTTACAGAATCACATAAACACATATACAGGGTAATCCTCTTAGAAGAAACAGAGCAATGCATAACTATGACAACACTTCTCCAACTACAGACCCCTGGCAATCTAATTAACTTTCCCGAATGTCTCCCAAATAATTTTATATGTTTCCAAAGAATACTGAGGACACAACTGAGATCATGTGGTGTACTAGAATCTTCCCAAGACCAAGGAGTTTCTGAGAACACAGGACTTTCAGTGCTGAAGCCAGGACAGGACATTCTGTCATTTAGATGGGAGACTCAGGAGACCTCTCATAGGCCTGGGCACACATGACTTTGGCAATGACCTCTGCCAGGCTTGGTTCTGAGCACAACCTGAATAAACCTATCTCTATTAAAGAAATTGAATCAATAATTAATAATCTTCCAAAGCATGACCAGTCTTCCTGTGGTGACCCCACTGCCTTCACCCTCACCATCTCCAGGCCCTCTTGGAGTCTTCTGGCTGAAAGCTGCTATCGCAGCCTTTCCAATTAGTTCTATCTAAAAAAGTCAGGTAGGCAAGAGTCATCCTCACCAAAGCTACACTGTGTTCTTGGTTTGTGGCAAGAACTTCCTGAGGGTTTTTTGTTTGTTTGTTTTTGAAGTCCTGTGATGCACACCACACCTTCCTCCCCCTTATACTCTCTCATTTATAGGGAAGACAGCTCATCTGGAAGTACTCTCAAACATCTTCCTACTGAATAATGATTAGATATATGGCTTACCTAAATTTCCTCCAGCTTTCTCTTCTTTGTGAAACCCACTGTTAAGCTAAATCTTGCCTGAAAGAGGTCAAGTCTAATTTTAGCTCCTTCCATATCTTCCAACACTCCAACACCCACTTGGCAATCACCAGGGCATGATTAACATAAAATCAAACCCCAGGTCCATGAACATTCAAGATTAAACAGCAGGGTTAGACTAAAGTTCAAAAGGCACAAAAGTTCATCTACAGATCACAGCAGAAATAACTGTGAAGACTGTGTTATCATGTCCAAGACCTAGCACTAGGCCAGCCCTTATGATGTCTAATAAGGTTTATATCTATCCCCTACTTGGCAGAACTTCCTCTAGACTTCATCTCAACTTCACAGTCCTCTTGTATGATCAAAGAGTGAAGCAAGGTGCTCACTGAAAACATCCCTCAATTTGCCCACTGCTCACTCTCTTCAAAAAAAGATGAGACATCTGAAATATTTTGCTTCCCCACTCTGATGAGATTTACTCACTCAAAATGAGACCTTTCAAAGAGTTCCTAGGTGTTGCTAAAAGAATTGGCATTTTCAGTTCCAGGCTTTTTGTTTGATTTTCCCTTCCCAAATGTCTTTGTCCTTGGGTGATGCAAATGGCTAAGCACTCAACTAATACCCAAAAGGTTGGTGTTTCCAACCCATGAAGAAGTGCCTTGGAAGGCAGGCCTGGTGATTTGTTTTTAAAAGGTCACAACCTTGAAAACTCAATGAAGCAGTTCTGCTCTGCACACAAGGACTCACCAACTCACCATGAGTTGGAATCAACTCAACAACAACAAATCATACGTGTGTGTGTGTGTGTGTGTGTGTGTGTGTAGAAAGAGAGAGAGAGCTATAGATATATGGCATAGATATATAGAAATACACATATATCTTTCCTGGGATTTATTTGAGTCATCCCAATACGCAGACTTGATGCATTTTACAGCTCAGGGAAATTAGTTTCTATTATTTGGCTAATTATTATCTCTTCTACATATATTGCTCTTTTCCCCTTCTGAAATCCCTATTATTCACATGTTGTTGTTGTGAGATGCCATTGAGTCCATTTCAACTCATAGTGAACAAAACACTGCCCAGTCCTGCCCCATCATTGCAGCCACTGTGTCAATCCATCTCAGTTTGGGCACACTTGCTTCTAAGGAGCATTCCAGCTGTACTTCCTCCAAGATTTGTCTTTCTTCTGGAAGTTCATGGTATTTTCAATGTTCCTCACCAACAGCACAATTCAGATGCATCATTTCTTCTTCAGTCTTCCGTATTCATTCTACAGCTTTCATATGCATATAAGGTGATTAAAAATACCATGGCTTGGGTCATCTTCATCTTCAAAGTGACATCTTTGTTCTTTAATACTTTAAAGAGATCTTTTGCAGCAGTTTTGCCCAGTGCAATGTGTTATTTGATTTCCTGAGTGCTGCTTCCATGTGCATTGATTGTGGATTCAAGCAAAATGAAATCCTTGACAACTTCAATCTTTTCTTCATTTATCATGACATTGCTTATTGGTCCAGTTGTGAGCATTTCTGTCTTCTCTATGTTGATTTGTAGTCCATATTGAAGACTCTAGTCTTTGATATTCATCAGTAGATGCTTCAAGTCATCTTCACTCTCAGCAAGCAACGTTGTGTCATTTGCATATCACGAGTCTTCTTCCAATCTTGATGCCACATTTTTCTTCATACAGTTCCACTTCTTGGACTATTTGTTCAGTAGACAGATTGAATAAGTATGGGGAAAGGACACAACCCTGATGCACATCTTACCTGATTTTAAACCACACAGTATCCCCTTTTCCTGTTTGAAAGACTG